TGTAAGAATGGGCTACATGATACCCTTGTAAAAGTATTTTAAACTGTATAAAAAAAATTGAAATCAATTGTGAAAATTCATTCCTTATATAGGACGGTCTCTCCTGTTGGTTCATTATGAAAAAACTTGTCAATCTTGACTGAACACAGACCATCCATCCATAATTAACGTTAAAAAAAAAAATTAAATAGACTAACTTATATTATATTTTCATCTATTTAATATTTTATCAATCTGTGTAATCTTAATTAATATATAATGAACATTTTCTAAAATAATAAAAATAATAATTATTTTCTCTCACAATTAAAAAGTATTTGTTTGTGGGAGTATTTTAAATTAATTTTTAAAAAGTAATTCTTACATATTATCATGACAACCACTAATAATAAAGATAAGACTGAGGAAATTGCAAAAGCGCAAAACAATTTCAGTTCACTGGGCAGGTCGGCACAACTTCGTTATGTTGTAATACCAGAGTGCATTACAGACTCAAATAACAAAACCCTAATACATCTTGAACAACTTGATAATCTATCTGCCATTACAAAAGCTACAGGCATCATTAATCATTACTATTTCCACACTTTGAATAATGCAACCCATTGAAGTTATGGATTCTGGAGTGATTTTACCAAACATATTGGGGCTTATACACTATATAATACCCTTCCCTATTCTAGCTCTGATATTGCAAATTCACACAATGCTGATCACCAGAAATGTGTCAATAATCTCCTCCGTGGTCTCAACTGTCAGATGGCATTAACAAATTTATTCAAGATAATTATGAAAGTTTATATGAGAAATTAAGCAAGCCAGTATGGGGCCATTTGCACCAAGACCTTTTGGGGTTTTCCAATGATTGCTATTAATTACAATATTATTAGTGATTATCATTGGGATGCAAAAGATGAGGCAAATTGTTTCTGTTGTCTTGTTGCTTTAGGAGATTTTGAAGGTGGTGAACTATGTTTTCCCCAGCTCCAGATTGTGGTGGTGGTTCAGTCTGGACAAGTTGCATTTTCCTCACGTTTTCTACTTCATGGCAACTTTCCCATTACCAAGGGAATCCAACACAGTGTTGTTTACTATGTTCATTGTGGATTTTTTCATAATTCACGGGATTTCACCAAGGTTTATGAATGCAAGGATAAAATTTATAGAGATGCAAAGGGTAACAATCTTTAATCTTGATTGATCGGTAAAATAATTCTAGGCAATTAATCCATACCATATTTGGTAATGTAGAAAAATTCGTTTTGAATATATTTTTATTAGGAGTTTTGGTGATGGTGTATAATGATTATTATATTATTATTATTTTTATTATTATTATATTATATTTATTATGAATGTTATCTTTTAAGATTAATACTTTCCGAGAAGTCTATAAGCTTCCATACAATATAGAGATTATAATTTTATTTCTTTCTTTCATGATCTATATTTGTATTTTAAGAATTGTAATTTTATTATTTAAAGAATCAAAATTCGAATAAAATAAAGATAACTTTTAATTTAACAACAATTAAATTACCTGTTCATTAACATTGTTTAAATAATTAAGTGATAATTATTTGAACGTTTGCAGATGCAAAGGGTAAGATTAACAACCCTCAACAAGACCTCACTTATGCTAAGGGGTTAAACAACTTGACCACACTTACCAAACCAAAAGCATTCCAAATTCATATCTCATCTGCATCATCCGATAACAGGCGAAGGGTGTAGGTAAGAATATGTCAAAAAAAAAATTATGTGACTGCTAATATTGATAAAATTATTGACTAATGATGTCTTCTATAGATTTGGCACATGCTTGTCAAGGCCTAAAGGCAGAAGATTTGCTACCTAATTCATAATACCTTTGTTCTTATAATGTCTTATATATATCTATTAAAATATTCATGATGGTTAATGTGTTATTATTATTGAATTAATAAATAAATTGTATCACCTAAACTTTTAAAAAACCAATTTTGAAAAAAAAGCCATATAATGACCTGATGAAAACATTTCGCAGAGTTTGAAATAAATCCAACATGGAAGAAAATCACTTGAATCCAAGGCCCTTTCTATTCTTTAGTTGCACCAATAACACATTTCTCAAAGTATTGTATGTTTTTGTGGACTGAATGAATTACCTGAGCTAAAGCATTAAGCTATCACCTCCACTGGAGTATGATGATTATGGCTCTTTTGAATTCCACAACTTGCTAAGCAAACTCATGACAAGTAGCTCAGGTAACCCCCCTATCAACACAAAACCAATACAATGAAGAATGATGCCTGGCAAAGATCATTAT